GAGTTACCCATACAAAATGCTGGGACAGACATGCTAAACGTGAATATTTTTGAAAGAAGCACATGGGGGCAAAGTAAATTAACGTTAAAACGGTTCTCGAAGTTTATAATTCCTCGTGGACCCATCTGGTTGAAGATTATGCTATAGTTTGTCTCGTACTTAGTATTGTTTGTTGCTGTGGATAGATTCAAAGGTTCCAAAATTTTCAAATTTCAAAAAAGGACTGCAACTAACGTCTTACAACCTCCCCTTAAAATAAAACTTCTCGAGCTTCGAGCCATCACCCTCGTGACTTTCGATCCCGCCAAAGTGCCCTACTAATTTCCAGACAAAATTAAAAGGAAAACTGCAATATTGGTCCCTAACCTATTGTTCAATTAACAATTTGATTTCTAACCTTTAAAAACCGGAGTTAGTTCTCAGTTCAGCTTTACGAAGTTGGATTTTGTTTTTCTAATTTGGGTCGATATCTAGAAATTTGAATTGACATATGTTTTTAGGACAAGGTATTGGAAAATGATTTTTCAACAGAGACAGAAATCCTACACAATATTTCTTCACTCTCACAAATTTTCAATAGACAAAATTAGAACAATGAACGTTCAAAACACACGAGTTAATACCGTTATTTTTACTAGTCTCTTTAAATTCACACAATTCTAGATGCACATAATTTTCCGTCTGAATATAAATTATCTTAATGTCAAGCACAATTCTTGTCAATGCAAACACTTGAATTTTTTGACAAGTTTCCATTTATTTTTTTGATCCTTTTCTTTCATTTTGTTCTCAAACAAGAATTCTATTTTCTTTTTCATAATATAATTTTCTACTTAAAACAAATTTGGGTCAAAACAACACAAATCACGTGATTATTAGGCGAAGGTTTGATATTTTTTTGTCTTTGGATGAGGCTAACTTACTATTTTAAAAAATAAATTGAGGATTAATATTATAATTTTCCCAAATTATATATCAGGGCAATCCACCCGAACAAAAGAATCAAAATATGTTTTAAAATAGGGTAATTCCTTTATCGAAATTATTGGTAACGAATTTGAGATATTACAGGAAAATAAATTTGGACGCAGTCCACATAGCGTGAGGGAGGTGAACTTGAAGTCAACTATTTCTCGCGGATTTTTTTTTTTTCCTCTAAATAATAATTATCAGTATTTGACACAATTTTTGAATTAATAATTAAAATTTTGACAAGAAAAAAATGTACTGTGTAATTGAAAAAAAAAAAGGGAAATTTATAAAATAAATACAATTTAAACTTGCAGAGGAATTAATAGTATTTGAATTTCTTTAGGGTAGTGTCATGGCGCTGACTAAGCCAAATTAATTATTCCAGCTCATTTTCGCTCCCTAATTTGATTTTTCATTTCTTTTATTTTTTGGAAAAGATTTTTCATTCCTTTTGGGAAAAGGAGAATTTTCAATTTCCGTGAAATAGCCGGCTCAGTCTCAACCGTTTCTCCGTGTTCAACTCGCGCGTTATCGTACGTAGGAGACAAATCAAACAACACTGGTATATATTTAGCAAGCGAGAGAGAGAGAGACCAACAAAGAGAAAATAAGCAGCAGCCCCGGCTTCGAGAGAGAGAGAGAGATTCCTTTTAAAAGTTTCTTGTTCAGATTGATTTACAATATAACTTTGATTTTTCAAACAATTATCGTGAGCATCGATTCTTTTTTTTTTTTATTGGAAGATCCTCGACTTGGCAACTAGGTTTTACTCTGGCGGATCTTGGGATAGTTAATTGACCGGAATTATTTAGTTTGAATCCTGATTAATTAACGAGTGAAATTTGAGAAGAATAGAGAGTTCTTTCTTTACAGAGAATGAAGGTTGTTGTACTGTAATATGGCACTATTGTTGTCTGTTATATACATAGAAGAGATGTCGCTTTACATCGGTCGCGAGGCTTCAAAGGTTCGTTTTTCCTCTGCACTTTCTCTCAGCGATTTTTCTTATTTTAATTTATTTGTTAGTTTGATTAATACTACGTTTGGGGGTGTTTTATTGATTTTTTGTTGTCTTTTTGTTGATGAGTAGTTGTGGAAGAGATTTTGTGCCGAAATTACTACCGAAATCAACCTTCTCGCAGAAAATTGGAAGTATATTCTAGGAGGTCTCATTTGTCAGGTTTGTGTACATACGTATATTGATCTCCACCAATTTTTTGATATGACGAAATATCGTTCTTATGAGTTTTATGATGATGATAATTTGGTGGAAGACCTTAAGATTGTCTTCTGATGTGTTTTCTGTGAATCAAATAGCCTTTGTTACGTTGCTTAGTGGGTAAGCTGTAGCTATTTCCAGATTGTTCTTGTCATTAAATTCGACTTCAATTAACTACTTTCTGATTTGAGTAACGTGAACATGATGTGCTTTACAAATTAGCCTTTGAATAATTCATAATTGTGCTTTTATTGCAACATCATTAAGCAAAGTAATGGGGCTTTCTTGTGATAGACCTAATCTGGTGTTATCTGACCACAGATAATAAAGGAAATATTTATTCTCCATTCCATTTAAGTTTAACAGATTACAACTGTTCCAGCAACTTAATTTTGCTTATTTTTCTTTGCTTTTCTTCCCTGTTATAGTTGGTTCAAAATGCATAAGATGTGAAATCTATCTTTATCTTCTTTATTCAGTACATACACGGACTAGCTGCTCGAGGAATTCATTATTTTCATAGGCCAGGACCAATACTTCAGGATGTTGGCTTCTTTCTACTTCCGGTGAGAATTATATATTTATGTATTTTCATTGGATATTACTACTGATGCGATGCCTACTTGCTTTCCGGCTTTACTCATCTCAAACTTCTGGAACTATTATAGGAGCTTGGACAAGACAAAGCTTACATCAGTGAAACTGTATTTACATTCGTCTTTCTATCATTTGTCTTGGTAAGTTTTCTCATTTATTGGTTTTAACATTTACTTCCTCCAATTGTTGTTCTTTCAAGTTTTCCTTCATATATTGATTTTGGTTGATGGTTTGGTGCAGTGGACTTTCCACCCATTCATCTTCAAGAGCAAGAAAATTTACACCGTCCTAATATGGTGCAGGGTCCTGGCATGTTTAGTTGTAAGTGAAACAATAGAAAATCATTTACCACCTTTGCTTTCAAGATGAATGTTTGTGGAATCATCGCAAATTTCATAACTCTTTTGTTGGAAACAATAGAAGTGATTTAATCTTGTCATCATAATGGTTTCCTCTTTGTACTTCACTGTAGGCTTGTCAATTTCTTCGGATCATAACTTTCTATTCTACTCAACTTCCTGGTCCTAACTATCATTGTCGTGAGGTAAAAATAATCAAAATCTGTTCTGATCTTGCATTTTGTTTGGCATTTATCCCAGACGTAAGAACGTTAATAAACGAGATTGAAGAGACTTTAATTTTTCTCGTAAGCTGTAAAATTTAAATCGGGAAATTTGTTTACACTATAGGGCTCAAAGCTTGCCAGGCTGCCTCTTCCTGACAATGCTGTAGAATTCTTCTTAATTAAATGTAAGTCAGGGTTGCATTTATTAGTTCCCTTCTTGCTTTCTAATTTTATATTTTTCATTTTTGTTGCTCATCTGTATTTTTATGAATTTGCAGTTCGTGGTGTGCTTTATGGATGTGGAGATTTAATATTTTCATCTCACATGATTTTCTCACTAGTCTTTGTGCGGACGTATCACAAATATGGTACACGGAGGTAATTAGTTGAATTATATCGTATTTTATACACTTTTGACTATTGGCAGGGTTAAGGTTGGGATGTAAAGCTAATGCTTCTTTTGTTTCAATTTAATGGCATCATTTTGGTTTTAGGATACTTCAAAATAATGGCCAAGTAAATTGATATATTTACACCAACTTCCCAATGCCTCACCCTATCTACTCTCCTCTCTCTCCACAACTCAAACCACACATCCAAGTGTGGGCATGTCTATGGGTGGAAGAGGAAGAGTATCAGTAGTCATTTTTTCCCCCTATTATTTCTGAAACTTTGGGTTTTCCACAACCATTCTTTCCTCTGGAGCTACATTCTGGATGGGGACAATTTAATTGGTCATATTGAGACAATCGAAGATGGGGACATTCGCAATGTTTTAAGAATATACTATCTACTAGAGGTTGACGTGTTTGAAATTTGGCGTGCTTAATAACATATATCAATGTCCAAGGTGTTTAAAGTTGGACTATGTTTGAATGTAAATCACGTGAACATAGGTGGTGAGAAGAGCTCCCATTTTGGAGGTTTATATTGTGAGGAAAAACTCGTCCTTCCCCAAATTGTGTAATTTACATGAAGTTACTGTTTTTTGTAAAGAAAAAGGGAAATTCAATATAAATCAGCGCTACTCTATCTGGTTTTACGTTTGTTGGAAGTTTTAATAAAATTCTTGATGTGGTATGGCAGGTTCATCAAGCAGTGTGCTTGGTTAACCGTTGTGATTCAGAGCTTGTTGATTGTCGCCTCCCGCAAACACTACACAGTTGATGTTGTTGTGGCATGGTAAATACATTAAGCCCCCGTTTGGCCTCGTTATTTGAGATTATAATTTTTGGAATAGTATTTTTTTTGAAGAATGTATGGTTAAAAAAAAAGAAAAAATATTGGGTTTACATGTAATATTATTTTATTGGAGAATGTTTGGTTGATAAGAAAAGAGAAAAAATTAGATTATAATTTTAATGGGGGCCAAACGGGGGCTAAATTATCCGCAATATTTTATTTTGGAATTTGTAAAAGTTGTCTAATATATTTCCAATACTTGACTGTGTTTCAGGTATACTGTTAACTTAGTTGTGTTCTTTATCGAGAAAACATTGCCAGGTTAGTGTTTGCTTATTCTTTGGATGGCTGATATTTGCTGTTGTTGGACACTCCACCTCTGACAATGTTTCTATGTCGTGTAGAGTTGCCTGATCGCTCTAATTTGGGTCCATTACTCCCGTTCACCAAGGATGGCTGGGCGAAGGAAGAGAATCACAAACTTTTGAATGGAAATTCTGGAGATTCGGCTGAAAGGGTACTAATATTCACCGTTTTTCTTTGTATTTTACTCACTTGTATGTTATTAGCCAATGGTGTAGCGTTTTTTAATATATAGTTGCATGCTTTTCAGAGGCCAAAGACTCAGAGCAATGGCAAGATCATGGAAAATGGAAATTCACTGCATGTTGAAACAGCAATTAATGGCTTATAGATTATGGTTATTGAAGAGACAGCATTGCAGTTATTCAAGTTGCTCGCTGCTCTCTCGGTTTACTATTTGGTCTTTGGCGAATCATGTCTGCTGTTCTTCAGGATCGGCAAACCTCATTTGTAATCTAGAAATGGAGTTTGGGTTATGCATTTCAATGTTTTAATAGTCCTGCTCCTTAGGTTGATTGCAAAGTGCAAAGTGTCACCATTAAAATTCATATCTTGTCATGAAATTCCAGTTATTTTTAATTGCTTCAATCATTTTTTTCCTTGAGCCTCTTAAATATTTTATTCCACTATTGTTTCATACAATGAAATACTTCGCCTGCATCCAATTAAGTAGACCCAAAATAATAATAAAAAAAGGCCTTAACTGCAGAGAAAGATTAGAAGTTTGTTAATTTGGTTTGTTTTCAGCAAGTAGGATGATGTTTTCTTTAGGCCGCATCAGCATGGGGTGTTGATGCAATTCAGTGCCTTTTGTCCCCCTACCCCACGTCCTACTTGTGTATGGTTTATGGTATCCTAACGGTGTAGCAAGTTTTTCCATTTAAAACGGAGACCACTCTTACCTACACATGGAAGAGAATTGACTTTGTACTCCATTGGAAGCTTGGCCCTTTGTGTTTTAAATCCACGACTCGAAACTTATCATACCAACACAGGATACAATTATAAGATCATTGCAATCTACTATTTTTTTTCAAAAATGACATCCGCATGTCTATACACTTGGAGGATGTTTGGGGTGGCTTATCTTAAAGATAAGCAACAAACATGTAGCTTATTTTTAATGTGGATCTACATATATTCAAAATAATAATAAGCACACAAATTAGACCTTGACTTGATTTGGAAAGCAACCGGATTGCAGTTTCACAAATTAATGTCGATTCAACCGTTCAAGGACATGAACTGGAAATGGTACATACATTTAGCCCCTGTTTGACAACTAATGTTTTGGGAAAAAAGAGTTTTGAATAGGAATTGTTAAGAAAATATGCTTAAAAATTAGGGGAAAAAATTGATTTACGTGCAGAATATTTTATTGTGCAAGCGTGTGGTTGAAAATGAATTGTAGAAAAAAGAGTTTAAAAATAATGGTTGCCAAACAGGGACTTAATGCTTTGGGACAAGTAGATGCAAAAAACCTTCAATAATAAGATAACAGTCTCAAGAATTAGGCTTTCTTTTTCAGGGGCTTAATAATCTGGACCAATTCTTACTAGATGCTTGTTTGGTAGGGATTTTTGGGGGAAGAATTGATTTTTTAATAGTGATATGATAGGAAATGTGTGGTTGAAAAATAAGAAAAAATGATTGATGTGATAAAAATATTATTTTATTGAAGAATATGTGGTTGAAAATGAGAATTGATTTCTTAAATAAAAAACAAACACCCCTTAAGTCTGAAAACATCAGAATTCGGACCAATACCTAAAACTAATTTTAATCTTTTCAAGTTACACGTCTTCCACAATTAACAGACCACCATTTTGTTGGCCTGTAAAGTTAAAAATCAATTTTACCTAACAGTGATTGTATTTACTATGCTATATAGTTCGAAGTATTGGTGAACGTAATATTGGCATGTTAGTCGATAGGTTGAAGTTTGTAATTCAGTTAGCAAGTTGAGTTAGTTAGTTAGTAGGTTGATTAATGAGCTGTAAATATTCTGTTTTTCTGTTTTCATTTCCCCTTTTTCCTATTTATACTCCAGCTTGTAATACATTCGGATTATATTGGAATGAATAATTTTCTCTTCCATTTCATAGCCTTGATCTTCAATATGGTATCAGAGAGGATATACCTTCATTAGATCTCGGTTGAAGCTTGTAAAACAACAATGGCTTCAGATCTTCAAAATCTAGTATCAAATAATTTTTCATCAACAGCAATTGATGATGGAGCTAGTCCATATTGCCTTCATCATTCAGATAATCCAGGCCTCATCCTAGTTTCGCAACAATTAGTTGGAGATAACTATGCATCCTGGAGTCGATCGATGTTGATTGCTCTTTCCATGAAAAACAAATTCGGATTCATCAATGGATCCATCTTGCGGCCTGAAGATAATCAAGAACTACTCAATTCCTGGGTTCGAAATAACAACATTATCATATCTTGGATCCTCAGTCTGTTTCCAAGGAGATCTCTGCAAGTATTATTTACTCTAAATCTGCACATGAAATTTGGATGGATCTAAGGGAACGGGCCACGCATATTCCATTTAAAGAGAGAACTGATGAACCATGCATAAGGTGAATCATTTGTCAGTTTATACTTCACTAAGCTGAAAACGATTCGGGAAGAGCTAAGTAATTATCGACCTATGTGTTCATGTGGAAAATGTGTTTGTGGAGGCACCAAAAGACTTGTTGAACATTATCAGATCGAATATGTTATGTCCTTTTTGATGGAGCTACATAAGTCTTTTGCTCAGGTTAGGGGCCAATTACTGCTGATGGATCCTATTCCACCCATCAACAAAGTCTTTGCACTTGTATCTCAAGAGGAACATCAAAGGAAAGTTAATGTAACCATGAATGCAGCTGGATCTGATTCTATGGCTTTTCAAATCCAAAGAGATATTGGCCCTGGTTTTCAGTATAATCGATTTCAGAAGAAGGAAAGACCTGTGTGCACTTACTGCGGGTACACAGGCCATGTAGTGAACAAATGTTATAAATTGCATGGTTATCCCCCCGGTTACAAACCTAAACAGAAATCTGGAATCAATAAACAAACTGGATCAATTAATCAGGCTATGGTTAACCAGGTTTCTGAACATCATTTTGAACTTATCATGGATCAATCACAAAGAAATTTTGGAAGATTTGTGCAGACACTCAATGCTAAGCAGTACCAGCATTTGATGAGCCTACTGAGTACTCACCTCAAAGATGCAGAGATGGATACAGAGATGAACACTAAGTCAGGTAATGCATCAAGTAATGTATCAGGTACCTATTTTTCAATCTCTGTTAGCCCAACACTTAATTAATCTAGATACAGGGTAGTAGATTCGGGCGCTACAAGCCACATTTGTTCTGATTATTCAGCCTTTCATACTATGAATCGTATTGAAGATGTATATGTTACATTACCAAATCACACTAAGATTCCTGTGCAATCTATTAGGACTGTGCATTTTTCCCCTGATTTGGTGTTGAATGATGTGTTGTTTGTTCGTCAATTCAAGTTTAACCTGCTATCGATAAGCTATCTAACAAGGAAATCATCATTATGTGTCAAAATTCTCACTGATTCGTGTATCATATAGGATCTGCACACACTGAAGACGATTGGGAGGGGTAAAAGGGCTACAGAACTTTATGTCATTGAAGTGAATAAAGTGAATACCGATCCAATTAATCCTTCCAACATTGTTGTTAACTCACTTTCCCTTTCAGTGGTAAATAATGTAACTGATAAGATTTGGTACAATAGACTTGGCCATCTATCATTTCAGAAATTGAGTTTGTAGAAAGATCAATTATAGCTTGTTTGTAATAGATAAAGTACTGATGTTGTTGCACCTTGTCATGTCTGCCCATTAGCTAAACAAAGAAGATTATCCTTTGTTTCAAATAATCACTTATCTGATGCTGCGTTTGATTTAATACATTGTGATGTTTGGGGACCATGTCACATTCCAATGCATGCCGATCATAGATATTTGCGTACCTTAGTCGATGATTGCACAAGGTTCACTTGGACATATCTAATGAGGCAAAAATCTGATGTTAAGTCCATTATTCCCAAGTTCCTCACTCTGATTGAAACTCAGTTTCATAAGACAATCAAGCAATTCAAACCAGATAATGCTTAGGAGTTGAAGTTTACAAATACTTCAGTGAAAAAGGAGTTATTCATCAGTTTGCATGTGTAGAGAGGCCTCAACAAAATTTTGTAGTAGAAAGAAAACAACAGCATCTTCTTAATGTGGCAATAGCTCTATTCTTTCAATCAAGGGTCCCAATTCATTTCTGGGGAGAATGTTTACTCATAGCCACATTTCTGATTAACAGAACTCCTTCACCAATCTTGAAAAATATACTCCTTTTTCACTTTTATATGGTACTCAGGTGGATTACAACTTACTCAAAGTATTTGGACGCCTTTGTTTTGCTTCAATACTACCACTCTACATAAATAAATTCTATCTAAGAGCAACAACACGTGTCTTTGTCGGATATCCTGCAGGCATTAAAGGTTATAAATTGTATGACATCTCATCTAAATCATTCTTTGTTTCCAGAGATGTTGTGTTTCATGAGAATCATTTTCCTTTTCATTCAATACCTCACACAACAGATCTCATCAATCCATTTCCTAACACTGTTTTACCTCACATTGCCTTTGATCCACCTCCTCATCATTTTTCTCCAAATACCACTCATTTGCAATCATTCCACCTACATCCTCAACTCCAATGTTAGACCTTAATGAAGACCAAGTACCAAATCCTCATTTGCCTATCATTCCACCTACATCTTCATCTCCAATGTCAGACCTCAGTGAAGAACAAGTACCAGATCCTAATCACCCCTCTTATTTTCTTCCTAGAAGATCCAATAGAATTAGCAAGACTCCTTTATACCTTCGAGAATTCCATTGCAATCTGCTTACAGATATATCTCCTCAAAATAACAACCCAGAGAATCCCTTATCCAAGTTCATTTCTTATGAAAATTTATCTCTTTTACATAAAAATTATCTTCTCAATATTTCATCTAACTTTGAGCCCCAGTTCTACCATTAAGTTGTAAAGTTTCCACATTGGAAGGAGGCTATAGCATCTGAATTGATAGCAATGGAACAAAACAATACTTGGTCAGTAACTAGTTTGCATAAGGGCAAACATTTCATTGGTTGCAGATGGATATACAAAATCAAATACAAGGCTGATGGGAGCATTGATAGGTACAAAGTCAGGTTAGTTGCTAAAAGTTACACTCAAGAAGAAGGCTTGGACTTCATCGAAACCTTCTCCCCAAT